AACAAGAATTAGGAAGACAAAAAATAACTTTTGACATCGCATTTACATTTTTTGAAGATCAAACTTGACTGGAACTCAAGAAACCGGAAGAGTGTTCCACGTGTGAGAAGTGCGAAAGAAGAAACTGTTAACATAGAACTTACGGTTATATCTAGCCAACTCGATTGTAAAATGAAACCAGGCTTCCATCGTTCTGGGTATGACGATAAACTACATCCGGCAGCAAGGCCGCTGATCGGGAGATTGGATGTTTTGAGGATTGTGGAACCACCACTTAATTACTGTTGTTCAGAGGTACTCACTGACTCGGGGTGGTAGCGTCTGTTAGGGTCTCAGCTATGGGCAAACAGTGAACCCATAAACAAAAATCAACAGTATATTTTTATAGTAAATTTACCAACAATTATTTAACCCCACGCAAGGCAATAAAGCCCCCAAGATACAAGTGGTTACGGAGTGTTAGAGAATATGAGAAAAAGGAGACATTAAAGAATGAGAACATTCAAAGAACAAGAATTAAGAAGACAGAAGATGACGACTGAAATTACTCTTAATTTTTTCGAAGATCAAACTTGACTGGATAAAAGCCTTCGTCTATTATCACCCACGTCTATCAAACACCGTTTTTGCCGTTCGTTTTTAATCATTTCACCCCAAGCAAGGGAATAAAGCCACTAACACGATGGGGGCTGCTAAGTGTGAAAGAATATAAGAACAAGAAAAACATTATTAAGTAGAGAGAATATTAAAAGAACAGGAATTAAGACAAAAGATACCTTTTGACACTGCATTTACATTTTTCGAAGATTAAACTTGACTGGAACGCAAGAAACCGGAAGAGTGTTCCACTTGCGAGAAGTGCGAGAGAAGAAACTGTTAGCATAGAACTTACGGTTACATCTCGATTGTAAATTGATGAGACCCTGTCAGTTATCCGCCATGCATGATACACGCTTAAGCGATCATATATCTTTCGATACATGACTGACGAGGCAGATTTTTTCTGCGGAGAACTAGGCTATAGAATCCGGTCTGTCTTGCTATTTAACCACAGATGGGGGAGAAGAAGAGGATTCATACCTTTCCCAAGAGTATTAGCACGTAAATGAATGTAATTGATTTGACTGGAATTCGAACTCGGCTCTCAATCCGAGTCGCTATCCATTACTCCACCGTGCCTCCTGCAGGACGCCAGTCTAGTACTGAACTTAAATTCAAAAAGTCTAGGTACCACAGCGAAGAACTCGTCCAAACAATTACGAAAGTATTTATAGAAAAGGCAGAGAGAGGCAATCTTATGGCGGTGGGAAAGTAACTGAAGCCGAGCTGCCAGATCAGGATTAGTAATATTGCTGATTCTTCTTTGGATTTTATCAAGAAGGTAAATAGCAGAGGCACCGGACCATAAGTGACATTAATATTCTAAGTATGGATGAATGACAGACATATAGATATGTACGATAGATTCTGGAGAGAAAAATTGTCTTGCATGACACAGTGAACCAACTTTCTTAGCAGCTGTCCTAGTAATGGATTCAATATAGTCTTTCCACTTTATGTCAGCTGAGAATGTTAGCCTGGAAAGGCGTAATGAGTCACTTACCTGGAGATTAGCATCAGTCATTTTTTTTTTTTAAGCGTTTCACCCCAAGCAAGGCGAGAAGCCGCTAGGACGCAAGGGGTTACAGAAAATTTGGAGCAAGATCAGATAGGAGTGATAAAAGAAAGGATGAGGAGAAGGGTAGTGGATAGATCAAGGCAACTGGAGATGTCGATTGACATTACACTTGAATAGCTGGAGATCATAGCTCTCAGGGAAACTGGAATAGGGAAAGGAGTTCCACAGGCGAGAGGTGTGAGACATGAAGCTATTAGAGTAGAAGAGACGGCTACATTTAGGAGTTTCGACAGTGAAAGGGTGAGAGCGGGATGCCGGCCTCGTAGGGCGCTTGAACTCATGAAGTCTGGGAACCAGCGAATGCAGCTCCTCGCAGCAATTACCATGAAAGTATTTGTAAAAAAAACAGAGAGAGGCGACGGCGCGTCTGTGAGAAAGTAACTGTAGACGAGATGCCAGATCAGGGTCAATTATGTTGCATATCCGCCTCTGGAGCCTATCAAGAACCCCGAGGCAAACAGAAGGGGCTCCAGACCATGTATGGCAGCAATACTCCATGCAAGGCCGAATTTTTGATTTGTAGATCTGGAGGATCGATTCCGGGGAGAAAAATTTCCTGACGCGGCACAGGGAGCCAACTTTCCTTGCGGTGGACGAAGCAATTGACTCAATGTATTTGTTCCATCTCAGGTCAGCAGTCAACGTGAGACCGATCAGCCGCAGAGAGGTGCTCTCGAGAAGTTGAGCGTCAGACATTCTAATGGAGGGCAGTCATGCTGATAGAATGGCGGAAAGTGGTCTCTGATAGGATTAACAAAGAATAGTTGTGAGGTGGAAAATAATTCATCATCCACAAGGTCGCGTAAAGGCTTTTGAACTCTCCCGGGGTTAGAAAGTGAGGATTGTGCAGCTCCTTTCGCTTATAAATCAGCAGCTCAGTTAGAATTTGGTACCTTTCTCGCTTAAATAGAATATATTTTGAGAATGTGTCTTTAGTATAGAATAACCTCAAATGTTGCAGATATTGGTCATAAAGAGATAAAGTGAAAGACTTAACAACCTAACAATGCCTTCTTTATTAATGAAATTTCTAGCTAACTGATAAAACTGAAGTTTTGAATTACTTTTGTTAAATGATTTCTTTATCTTCTGCTAATTCCGAAAAGTTTTGTCCACAAATCAAGGAAGCTTCGCAACTTGCACAATATACGCTTGTTAAAAAAAAAAAAATTAAAAGCATATGACGCGTATACTTATACTGTTATGTGCAAACAAAAAAGTCAGTAGCTAGATAGGTGACCTTTAAGCGAAAGGAGCTGCACAATCCTCAACTTCCAACCTCGAGAGAGTTCAAAAGCCTTTAAGCGGCCTTGTGGGTGATGAATTATTTTCCACCCCACAACTATTCTTTATTAATCCTATCAGATACTTTGGGTAATTTTTCTCTACAGGAAACTTGAGGTGTGTCTTTATTTATTTGGAATTTTTTGTTTACTTTATTTATATATTTTTTCTTAGAGCTTCTATCTATCTATCTATCTATCTATCTATCTATCTATCTGTTATGGTTCGGTTCCTTGTACCACGGTGATAGTCTAAGGTAGAACTAATAAAGAAGAACTCGAACACGGATATGGAATAACACAGATATATTACAAACAGGAATATATATACAGAGAAATAGAAAGTGTTATTACGAACAATCAGGTTTAGTAGTAATTGTCTGAATGCGACTCTATTTCGGACTGCCTCTGACTCGACTGACTGACTGACAGACTCCTGACGGACTTCACTCCAGGCTTCAGACTGAACAGTATTTACCCCCCCCCCACAACGAGGGTATCATGTGGCACAAGGCCGGTTTAACGTGGGATCTCCGAGATACCCTTTCAACCTGTATAAACGGGTTCAGGGTCGATTTACCTCCCAGAACGAGACTCTGCCCTTCGGCGTAGCCTCGTTCGGGTTCCTCCCCGCCCGAAGGCAGAGAGTTCAACCGTTCAGCCGGTCGTCCGACATCGACTGACCCTCGTTTCTCTTACTACTCCTACTTATATTAGGTGGGAGAGTCTATTAACTATAGAATAGGGGTGTTTCACCATAACAGTATCTTCCTAGCATTAACTACTTTTATTGTTTGTTGGATAATTTCCAAACGAGTATAATCCATCATCTCATCGATGGTAGCCAACTGAGGCAAGTTAGTTAAATAGAGAGTGATTTTAAAAACACCCGTAAAATGTTCCGTTCAGATGTTCGTCCTACCCTGAGGGGTCTTTTGACTTAAGGGGTACGACAGACGAAGCCTATGGACCCGCTTGGTCAGGTGATGTAACGCTTTAGGGTCGTTCCGATCGTAAGCATTGAGCGTTAAGGGGTTTACCTGACCATCATTTCATCTGACAGATTCTGTACTGAAGAAATATGTAGCGTTTTTGAAGGATCCGAGTCAGAATTCACCATGCTTGCCTAAATAACTCAAAAACATTAGACCTTTAAAAGATGATTTATCTCAAGGTCATAGAGGTAGATTCACTTAACGCCGCAACTTGATACACAACCAAAACATTAACTGAAAACTCATGTTTTTAAATAGTGAGAGAGGAACACGGACGAGGCTGTGCCGAAGGGCAGAGTTTCGTCCGGGGAGGTAGACAGACCCGATCCCGTTTATGCGGGGTTTACGGGGATTTTTTTGGCCGAGCCTTGTGCCACATGTGACTGCGTGGGGCAGTTACTAAATAGCGTCGATGTCGGACGACAGTAGTCGACAGTTAGTCGAATACGAAAGTAGTCAGCGACCACAACCAGATTACTCTGCGTAATGCCTATTATATCAAGTTCCTAACGTTTTGTACGTCGAACCTAATTTAAGACCGATTTAGTACAAATACAAGCCTTCACTGCGAAATAACTGCACAACGGATACAAAGGCTTGATGGCATTCCATTCTTTGTTTTTTTTTAGTTATTTCATCCCAGGTAAAGCAATAAATCCTCTAGGACGCAACTGGTTACTGAGTGTTAGATAATAAAAGAAGAAGGATTAAGAAGACAGAAGATAACGATTGTCTAAGCATCTGTTTTACGTGGATTTATTAAAGACAACTCTTGTAATTAATTTCAAAGACTGGGACAAAGAGACATAAAATACGTTTGGCTTCTGATGGCGTAACCCTTTTGAGGTCGAAGTTGAAAAGAGATCTTAGGAAAGGTTATGCAAAGATGAAAATATTCAATCTGAGTTTGCACATAGAATCTCCGGAAGGTTGTTCTATATCGTGTTGGATTTTGCATCTATCTATCTATCTATCTATCTATCTATATATATATATATATATATATATATATATATATATATATATATATATATATATATCTATCTATAGATAGATAGATAGATAGATAGATAGACTGAGATAGATAATAGATGAATAGACTGTGAAAGATAAACGATAGATAGATAGATAGATAGATAGATAGATAGATAGATAGATATGAACAGACTGTGATAGATACTGAAATAGATGGATGGATGGATAGATAAAGATATAAACAGACAGACAAGACAGACAGATAGATAGATAGATAAATAGATAGATAGATAGACAATGAACAGACTGAGATAGATAGATAGATAGATAGATAGATAGATAGATAGATAGATAGATAGATAGGGAGAGGATTTAATAAATACGAACTGACAGAAAAAAGACTGGGATAGATTAATAGATAGATATAACGAAGAATGAGATAGAAAGAAAGAAAGAAAGAAAAAAAAAGAAAGAAAGAAAGACGTTGATATATATGAACAGCTAGATAGAAAGAAGAATAATGATAGATATAGATAAATCCTTTTAAATCAACCACTTGGGATCTAAAAGAAAGAACCATCTTAAACCCTCCGTTGTTCCTGAAACGAATTCTGTGTTTTATGGCGAAAAGCTTTTAATAAACCGTTATGAAGTGGGTGGCGAGTCATCCTTTGACAGTCTCTCCTTGCCATCTCTCCGGCGACGAACTAATTTTTGGATATGCGTCGGGATACACGCTAAATTACACGCTGTCCGGCTTCGGCAGTGTCCCTTCGCGTCGAAACGACGGGGAGTCAATCGAGGGGAAGAACGGAGTAACCTGCCCCTGACAATTGCGCCTCTTATCCAAAGATGGTTTTGGCGTTAAATCTAAAATTGGTTTGTCGGGACAAACCGTGTCTTGTAAGTAAGCCTGTAGGTGCATCAGGAGACTTTGCAATGAGCAGGAAAATGACGTCTGTTTTAAATGATCCTGTGTAAAAAGATCAGCTGAAAAAAGGATCTAATAAGGGCTATGTTTTTGCCTGTCTGTACCTTTACAAGCATTGCCATTATGCCATTCACATACACTCATACATACATACACGCACACACACACACACACACACACACACACACACACACACACATATATATATATATATAATGATTTATGTTAAAATAAACATTTGGTGTCTTATCAAGTGATGATGTTGAATGTAAACAAAATGGCTATTTTTAAAATTTTATAACTTTATTTGTATTTGCGATAGAAATAATTTGTAAAAAGGATTAGAAAGAAGTAAATATATATTTTTTTAAGGTTTTATCGAAATTTTATTTAAGTTTCCGCATGACCTATACGGAACTGTCATATATCCTGAAAATTTCTCGGACATTCAGGCTGGTAAATATTATTAATACTGTTTATTATAAAACAGAGCATTTACTTAAATATTTGTATCTATTAAAATAATGTATAAACATAAAAATCTCTTAAAATAATTGTCGGTCTTTGTCCATTTTATAATGTGTGACGTCATTTGTTTATATTTGGATACGCTTTGAGCAGATTTGAATGTACGTGAGAGATTCATGGAAGATTGTAGTTTAAAAGCAGTAAAATCGACCTTGCTAACCGAACGAACCTCTGTGGCTCAATCGGTTAAGGCACGTATGATACATATATATATATGTATGTATATATATATATATATATATATATATATATATATATATATATATATATATATTTCTCAAGCTATTTCTAAATTCACCAAGATATGCTCCGAATTGTAACATACAATAATTAACGACAATATATTTTATCATCCAAGGCAGACTTTTTAACTGTTTCACTGCTCATTAGTGTGGCTAGACGTCTAGTTGCCTCTAGCTAGGGACGAATCCCGACTGAATTGACATATATATATATATATATATATATATATATTTGGATTACATCTATATTTTCGTTGTCCTGTTATTACCGAGAAGTAAAAAACAAAAACAAATCTATTTCCATACCTGAAGATGTGTGCAGGAACAGACGAAAGATTGTAAAAAACTAAAAAAAAACCTTATGCAACTGGAATTTATAAACAGGGATCATAACATTCATCTACAGGTTCGGGGTTAATGTACTATATTAAATTTGTTGCGAAGATGTATTCTCGCCATTTATATCATTAACTTCTATATCTGTTTTTTTTGTATGAATGATTCATATATATATATATATATATATATATATATATATATATATATATATATATATATAATTGGTGTATACGGAATGAATTCCAATAACCAACAATTACTATTCTTAAAAAAGAGTGCTCAATAAAAGTAGAGCAGATATAATTATTAAAAAAAATTTATAACATAAATATGTTATAAATATTTAAAAAAAATAAATAATTATACACACACACACACACACACACACATATATATATATATGTGTGTGTGTGTATAATTATTTATTTTTTAAAATATTTTCGGCTCTTGTTTTGAAACATGAGACCTCTTATGTCGCGAGTTCGAATCATATTTTTAAATAAATAATTATATATATATATATATATATATATATATATATATACAGACTCAGTATCATCTAACCCACCATTCTGCAAAAAAAATTATCATCGTATTTGTATTTGCGAAGATATTTTTAAATTAAAAATACGTAATAATTGCATTAGAATCCATTTTTAGCCATGTAAGCGTTTCGAAATTCCCTGAATTAAAAAGAAAAACGAACGGGAATAATAAGTATTCCTGTTCTTTTTTACTTTTTTATTCTGCTGATAATTTTGAAACGCTATATGTATTTTTAAATTCTCTATTCTCTTGAATCTATTTCCGTATATTTTTTTTGTGTACTTATTTTAACTTTTTTTTATTTATTCATTATTGCAGATTTTATAAAGTGAAACTTAATATCTATTCTTCATTATTACTTTACTTTACAAAAACAAATTTCAAACAAAATATCTTGAATTAGTCCAGGCCGGGACGGCGCACGGGTCTCCACCCCACTCCGAAACTATGATACAGAAAAATAATTTATTTATTCTACAGAAAATAATTTTTTATTTAATCTTTAAAAAATAAACTTCATTGTTTTTTTTGGTTTGTTACTAACAAGAAAAAAAGTAAATCATTTTAAATTAAGTTTTATTAAAACAAAAACTATAGCGAACCCTATTTTTTTTTTAGAAAATTAATTTAAATAAAATATAGTTAAATTGGTAAAACAAATGTTGTCCGTAACTTCTGTCTGTCTTTTATTTAGATAAAGTTTTTTTTTTCTTTTCAAAAACAAATATTACTTGAATTTGGACGGGTAGGACATCCTTATTTTGCACACTTCCCCTCAAATGTTACACAGAAAAAAATTTTGATCACTGCCCTCAAATATTACACACGTAAAAAAAACGTAGATATGTGGCGTATTATATATATATATATATATATATATATATATATATATATATATATATATATATATATATAGAGAGAGAGAGAGAGAGAGAGAGAGAGACAGATACTAACAGACCTTTTGCAAACTACTTCGCAAATAAATACTGTCTTGTCCCAATTCTCCTGTCATTTTTGAGGTTGTTTTTGTCAATAAGAAAAATACGTATTGGCAATGCCTCATTTCTCTCGTGAGTATTGACCTATCACTCTTCAATTAAAATGCCACATCATCACGTGATCTTTCTATAACTTCCTATCATTTGTAAATCATATCAATATTTGTGTCTGTCTAGAACAGGGGTTCCTAACTGTTTTTGTGTCATCGCCCACATTCACATGGAAAATCTTTCAATCGTTCACCTGTATAGTAAATAGTCAAAAGCGTACAGTGATGGTGAGATTATGTTTTGACGATAAATATTGTTTTTATTAATTTAGGGGCATTTTTTCATCATGTATGCTCATTTTTCAGCGAATTGTTGGAGGTATCTCTCTCTCTCTATATATGCATATATAGGAAATTCACATATAAATATAATCTATCTGTAAAGACAATATAAATAAAAGAACTAAATTAAAGTATAAAAAATAAATAAAACAAAATAAAAAAAACTGTTCTATACCAACGCGTTTCCTTCCTTTGAACTCACACTCTTTGCCACTCACTCTCTTTGAATTCACACGCTTTGACCATGTCTCCTTGAAGACACATGGCACAGTGGATAAAGACGTTGGTTAGATGCAGTGACAGGACCCAAAGAGTGTGAGTTCAATACCCGGTTAAGGCAGTGGAGAACTTTCAGAGGGAAATTAGCAGGAGATAACTGATAACTGACATCCATCAAACATGGCACGTGGAACTAGAACAGTCTACCCCAGTGAGCGAAATAAAGGGTTCAGTTCGAATTTCCAACCACCTGAAGAAGGCCGGAGCGTACAACGGTCGAAACGTTGTGATAAATATGGCGACAAAGATGAGGACAATAGTCCGAATAATGTTTTTAAAACTATAGAAAATACCAAAATATTAAATCTTATTGAAGAATGTGTCCCAGTTATTCCCAATTAACGTCCTGTTTTGTTTTTTTGTTTTTTTTTTTGCTTCTTTTTAATATAGGTTCTTTGTATTTTTTTAATTTTTTTGTGTAGCATATGTTGAAATACCGTTTCAATAATCATAGTTTTATATCGCCCCCTCCCCCAAATTTCCAATTCCCCACCATTTCGTGTTCAGTTGCTCATCACCCACCCAACAGTTGAGATCGCCCACCGGTTGGTGATATCGCCCAAGTTGAGAAACTCAGGTCTAGAATGACCTTACGCTTCAAAAGTATTTTAACACATGCGCACATGAGATTGAAACTGATTTTAATGAAGGTTTAACGTCTTTTGATGTGAAGGTCCTCCAAGATTTGTAATGGTTTTTGCAGTTGGATGAGCAGAATACTATTGTATAATGACCGTAACTTGGTGGTAATTAGAAGAGGCGCCGTTGATATATTTACATATGGTACTTCACTCGGAAAATTGACAGCTCAGTCTACTCGAGAAATATGTTGTGGTATTACCAATATATGTTTATCTACTTTTTTTACTATGTATAAGCTATCTACACAACGAGGCGGGGGAGAGGGTCGAAAGAATTTCTATACGACATTATTATTTTTATTTTTTACCAAGTACTTTTTGAGAAATATTGACACCAAACATGAGTTCTGAAATTTTTGTTGGGCATGATGAATTTTAGGCGATTTTACGACCTGCTGGAAATATATAAGATATTTTCATTACATTTTCGTTCATATATATATATTTTATATATATATATATAAATAAAAATAAATAAGATAAACTGTATGATGAATTTTTCAGGCAAAACGAAATGAATTTATTAAAACAAAGTATCTATTAATAACAAAAAAATCTGCTGGAAGAATTTTGAAAATTTTGAAATAAAAGGACATTATATTTTGTTGTTAATAGTTATTTTGTTTTAATAAATTCGTTTTGGCCTTGAAAAGTCCACATTGGATATATATATATATTTTATCCTATTTTTTATATTTATAAATATATATATATTGGATATATATATATATATATATATATATATAGAAGACAAGAGGAAAATCTGTATACATATACATGCATATATATATTGTGTGTTTTTTATGTGATCTGTGTGTAAATGTGTGTGTGTGTGTCTTTTAGATATAACTGTAAAGACAATAAGTAAAAGAAAAGAAAGAGGAATTTATATAAATATAAATATATATATATATATATGTATGTTGTGGTAGGAACAAAAGAAAATATCCATATAAATATGGTTGGTACTGGAAGAATTTTGAGAAATTTTGAAAGAAAAAGGACATTATGTTTTGTTGTTAATTTTGTTTATTTTTGTTTATCATTATTCCATGCAAGTCAAGTTTCAACAATATATATATATGTATGGCCTATATATATATATATATATATATATAGAGAGAGAGAGAGATGTCTGTATATCATGCATATATATATGTGTGTGTTTTTATGTGTGGATCTGTATTAAATTTCGTGTGTATTTAGATATAATTTCAAAAAGACAATATAAGTAAAAAGTTGCTGGTATATTTATATATAAACCCGCGGATATATAGAGAGGATTAGAGTCTTTAGTTAAAAAACGTATTCTTATCCAAAGAAAAACCATCAAGTTGGTGAATCTTTTAAAAAAGAGGAACAGTAGAGAGGAAAACTCTACAAACTTATCCGAGAAAAAGAGATCAATATCCAACTTCCAATGTTTGGCAGTGAGACAGGAGTTTCACTACTGTTCAGAGAGCATGCTTTTGTAACATTTTTTAAAAAAAATGCCAAATAATATATATATTTGAACTCTTTCAGAGCTTCCAATCATTACCACTGATTAATTGATGATGAATTAATCACCAGAGAAAGGGCGAATAACATCAATTGTTCTCCACATCATCCTTTTTCTTTTCGTTATTCAGCCATGCAATTACTAGGTCTTCTTGTTCACAGTAATAAAGATAGTTGTTCCGATGTGGTTTTCCCAGTAGAATTTAAGCTCCACGGTTTGAAATTCTGAAATAATTTCCTTCTCTTAGATCCCCTTTTCCTGTTGTTATCCAAAGATAGAGAGCCAAAATCTATCCCTCTCCTTTTTAACCCATCAGCTGGAGGGGTTGGAGAAGAGATGGATTCAAAAAAAAAAAAAAAAGTAAGAAACAATTGCCCAAGAGCATTTCACTTGCGAAAGTGAGTGCAATAGTTTCAAGGCTGAAATTCTAAATTCTAGGTTATCTGGTTGAATTCCGCTCCGCTCAATTGTTGCCCAATGACGGATAGCCGCTAAATTAGCTACCGATGCACATTCACTTGTGTCTAAGTTTTCTGAATAACTGCCTCTCTGCAGATGATATCCCAGTGCATGTCCAGAAAATCTGTTGGTGTCTAAAATCTACAAACTTATCCGGCAGACAATATCCTTAATGTAGTACTTCCCTACTGTATACTTCTGTAATTTTTTTTTTAAATGCCACGTCTCTTCAGGCCGTAGAGGATCATGGTATAGGCGAACACGCATCACTCTATCGTCCACACCACCACCATGGCTTCAACTGAATAAAAAAAAAATGGCAAAGACACCACGGGCCAAATGGTACCTGTCGGACATCTGTCCCTCCCCTGGGATGAGTAATACCCATTTCAAAAACGTCCGTACTCACGGCCTCACACATATATATATATATATATATATATACATATATACATTATACATTTCATATATTGAATCAACCAGTCAATATTAATGCAAGTACTGGCGAAATTCTTTTAAAGAAACTGGAAAAGTTTAAACTAGTATAATCCCTGAAAAATGCAAAAAAAAAAAAAATTGTTGTCCCCCCATCTGGTGTATTTTTTTAGAGCAAGGTTATCCGGTTGAATTCTCCCACGGATTTTTTTCTTTAAAATACCTGAACGTTCACTTGCGGCTAATTTTTTTCAAGAATTTTTATGAATAACGTTTATATAATATTGATATCCCAGTGCCTGCAAAATTATTTTAAACATTTTTTTATATATCTTTAAAAATTTTGTAATAAAATATAAAAATTCTTTTTATTATAAGTGTTTTCATTTTCATGACATGAACTAAGTACATCATTTAATTACATTTGATATGTCTTTGACGAATTGTTTGTTTTTACGTGAGAAACTCATGGGATCAATTGTTTTTCAAAAACATTAAAATATTTTATATTATAAAGAGAAATCATATATATATATATATATATATAATATATATATATATATATATTAGAGCTATATGACGGTTCCGTATAGAGAGTACTGTTCGATTCCTGTCGTTTCAGTATATTCATATTTTCTATCCAAATTTGCTAGGACATTCAACCGGGATAAGAGTAATTAGTGTCTGTTAAAAAATTTATCCAAAAATATTTATATCTAAAATCTAGAAAGATCCGGAAAAATGATCTTTTTATATATTATGAAATGGACAAGGTCCGACAATTTTTTTAAGACATTTTATGTTCAGGTAGATAGGAATGGTTTAATCATAAATGCTTATTTATAATAAACAACATTTACCGGCCTGAATGTCCGAGAAATTTTCCACAAATTCTGAAATATTTCCTTCTCTTACAGCATTTGTTATCCAAAGATAGAGAGCCAAACCGTCATGTAGCTTTAACCCCTAGCTGGAGGGGGTTGGAGAAGAGATGGATTCATTCGGTCAAGAGGTCGAATTTACTGCAATTTGGCTGAAATTTAAACTAGGTTATCTGGTTGAATCTCTCACGCACGGATAGCCGCTACGCTCCTGGCATTCAAATGTAAACAAATTTTCTGAATAACTGCCTCTATGCAAATGATATCCCAGTGCATGTCCAGAAAATCTGTTGGTGTCTAAAATTTACAAACTTATCCGGCAGACAATATCATTAATGTAGTAAATTCCTGACTTATAATAAATTTTTTTAAAATGCCACATTTTCAGGCCTGAATCATGGTATAGGCGAACACGAAATTTCGTCCACACCAAAATATTCAACTGAATAAAAAAAATTTATTCAGACAATGTTGGGGCAAAATTGTTGTCGGACATCTGGAATGAGTAAACCCATTTACTTAAACGTTTGTATCTATAAAAAGAACGTATAAATATATATATATATATATATATATATATATATATATATATATATATATATATAAAGAATATTTTAGAATTTGATGTGAGTTTGAATAAATAATAATATATAAAAATTGCGGATATATATATATATATATATATATATAATATAAGCAAAAGAAAGAATTCATATTATTTTGTTCTTCTAGGCTATTTTACTGGCGCTGTTCTTTTAAATAAATGGTTTCGAAGATACTCCCTGAAAAACAAAAATCAAAAAAAACATCCATAATTCGCGTCCAGGCAGCAAATGGACGACAACTGTACATGAACGTTCACCTGCCTTTGTTTTTTGAATAAAAACTAAAAATGAAATCCCAGTTAAAATTTTTTAAGATCACTTTAATGATCTATAAAACGTTATACTAAAAATAAAAAAATTCGAAAAGGAATTTCTTCGGCTTGAAATGAGAGTTTTCCTTCATCTCATAAATATGTTGACCATGAATATTTGGCGCCATAAAAAAGTGACCACCTTAAAGGCGTGTGAATGGTTTTCTCTTCAAAAAAATGTAAGTGTGGATGTTTAATAGATAAATAATAAGATTGAATGTACGCGAATTCGTTTAAGTGCTGACAACTGTTTTGACGAGAAACAGGATTTACAGAAGGAAAAGAAAAGATGAAAATTTTTATATATATTATGAAATGGAAAGTCATAAATATTTGGAGCAAAAAAAGACAGAAGAATGCGAGAAAAAGATACAAAAATTTAAAGAAAGAAAGAAAGGCCTGAAAGTAGAACGAACGAAAGAAAGAAAGAATGAAAAATAGAAATATTTGGAGCAAAAAAAAAAGACAGAAGAATGCGAGAAAAAAGAAGCTAAAACGAAAGAAAGAAAGAAAGAAAGAAAGAAAGATAGAACGAACGAAAGAAAGAAAGAATGAAAAATAGAAATATTTGGAGCAAAAAAAAGAAAATATTCATCCTCCGAAGAATGCGAGAAAAAGAATTTACTAAATATTTGTATCTATAAAAAGAAAGAAAACAAAAAAAGAAAATAATATAAAGAAATAATAATCATAGAACGAACGAAAGAAATAAAGAATCCAAAAACTAGAAATATTTGGAGCAAAAAAAAAAAAGACAGAAGAATGCGAGAAAACGTTCTTCTAAAATTTTTAAAAGAAAGATAATGGTTTGAAGAAAAAAAAGAAAAAGAAAAAAAAATTCGAAAGAAAAAAGAAATGGAAGACAACTGAAATCTTTCTAGAAATTTTTGTTTGAGCAAAAAAAAAGATGAAATTCCATTAAAAATCACTGAATGCATAAAAACGACAGAAAAAAAAAAAAAAGAAAAAGAAAGAAAAAAAGAAATGAGAAAGTTCTCTCATAAATAAAAAAGAATATTTGAAAAAAAAAAAGAACCAAAGCAAAAAAAAATGGTTTCTCTTCAAAAAAAAATAGAAATATTTTAAGATAAAAAAAAGACAATGTATGCGAGAAAAAAGAAGACAAAACGAAAGAAAGAAACTCAGAAAATAAAAGAAAGTAAAGAAAGAAAAAGAAAGAAATAAATATTTGGAGTAAAAAAACAGACAGAAGAATGCGAGAAAACAGAAATTAAAACGAAAGAAAGAAGGATAATAAATAAATAAATAAATATTTGGAGCAAAAAAAACGTTAAAATGAAAGAAAGAAAGAAAGAAAGCAAGCAAGAAAGAAAGAAAGAAATGAAGTAATAAATATTTGGAGCAAAAAAAGAAGAGACGAATGTGAGAAAAAAGAAGTTAAAGCGAAGCAAAGGAAGGAAGGAAGGAAGGAAAGAAATAAAAAGAAAAAAGAAAGAAAGAAAGAAAGAATGAAAGAAGGAAAGAAAGATAAAATATTTGGAGCAAAAAAAGACCAGAAAAATTTAAGAAAAAAGAAAATTAAAAAAAAAAAAAGAAAGAAAGAAGAAAAAATAAGAAAAAGAAAAAAAAAAAAAAGAAAGAAAAAAAAAATGTAATAAATATTTGGAAAAAAGAAAATAGAACAATTTGAAAAAAAGAAAGAAGAAAGAAAAAAAAGAAAGAAAAAAGGATGTAATAAATATGAAAGAAAGGAAAGAAATAAATATTTTACGAAGGAAAAAAAACGTTAAATGGGAAGCCAAGAAAGAAAAAAAAAAGAAAGAAAAAAAAAAAGTAAAAGAAAAGAAAGAATAAAAAACAATAAATAGAATTTTCTTCAAAAAAAGAAGACATAAAAAAAAGAAAAAAGAAAATATTTTAAAAGAAAGAAAGGAAGGAGAAAGAAATAAGAAAAGAATTCTCCTCTAGAAAGAAAGAATGAATGAGAGAACGAGTGAAAGAAAATATTCAAAGGAAAGGAAAAAAAAGAAAGAAAGAAAGAAAAAAAGAAAGAAAAAAAGAAAGAAAGAAAGAGGAAAAGAAATAAAAATTCCAAAGAAAAAAAGAATGAAAGAAAACGAAAAATGACCAAATATTTGAAAGAAAAAGAAATGTGAGAACAAAATGATCAAAGAAAAAAAGAAAAAAAGAAAAGCGCTGAAAATGAAAAGAAAGAAAGAAAGAAAGAAAGAGGGCGGAAAATGAAAATGAGAAAAAAAAAAAAAAAAAAAGAAAGAAAAGATGGCTGAGAAAAATGAAAAATGAAAGAGGAAAAAAAAGAAAAAAGAAAAGAAAATAAAAAAAGACCGGAAAGTAATAAATATGAAAAGAAAGGAAAGACAGAAGAATGAAAAAGAAGGAAGAAATAAAAAAAGAAGAAAGGGAAGAATGAAAATGACCAAAAAAGAAAGAAAGAGGGCGGTGAATGAAAATGAGAAAAGAAAGATGGCTGAAAAAAATGACCAAAAAAGGAAAAAAAAATTTTTCTTCAAAAAAAATGAAATAAGAAAAAAAGAAAAAAGAGAAAATTTTAAAAGAAAAAAACAAAAAGGAAAAAAGCCAGTTTTAAAAATAAATAAAAAAAGAAAGAGAACCGAGAATGAAAATGACCAAAGAGAGAAAGAAAGAGAGCTGAGAATGAAAATGACCAAAGAAAGAAAGAAAGAAAGAAAGAAAGAAAGAAAGAGGGCTGAGAATGAAAATGACCAAAGAGAGAAAAAAAAAAAGAAAAAGCGCTAAGAATGAAAATGACCAAAGAAAGAAAAAAGAAAGGGGACCGAGAATTAAGATGATCAAAGAAAGAATTCAAGAAAAAAAAAAGAAAGAAACAGGATTTAAAATGAAAAAGAAAAAAAAAGGAAAAAAAGTAGGGACCGAGAATGAAATTACCAAAGAAACAAAGAAAGAAAGAAAGAAAAAAAAGAAAGAAAGAGGGCTGAGAAATGAAAATGACCAAAGAAAGAAAAAAGAAAGAAAAAGGGCCAACAATGAAAATGACCAAAGAAAGAAAGAAAAAGAAAAGAAAGAAAGAAGGGCTGTCCAATGAAAATGACCAAAGAAAGAAATAAAAAGAAAGGTTTAGAATAAAAAAAAAAAGAAAGAAAGAGGACTGAGAATGAAAATGACCAAAGAGAGAAAGAGGACCGAAAATGAAAATGACCAAAAAGAGAAAGAAAGAAAGAGAGCTGAAAATGAAAATGAAAATGAAAATGACCAAAGAAAGAAAAAAAGAAAGGGGACCGAGAATTAAGATGATCAAAGAAAGAATGAAAGAAAAAAAAGAAAGAAACAGGACCAAGAATTAAAATGACCAAAGAAAGAAAGAAAAAAGTAAAAGGACCGAGAATTAAGATTACCAAAGAAACAACGAAACAAAGAAACAACGAAAGAAAGAAAAAAAGAAAGAAAGAGGGCCGACAATGAAAATGATCAAAGAAAGAAAGAAAGAAAGAAAGAAAGAAAGAAAGAAAGAAGGGCCGACAATGAAAATGACCAAAGAAAGAAAGAAAGAAAGAAAGAAAGAAAGAAGGGCTGACAATGAAAATGATCAAAGAAAGAAAGGAAAACATTTAGGAAAAGAAATGAAAAAATAAAGAAAGAAAGAAAGATCTTCAAAGGATAAAAGAAAGAATGATTTGTGAGTGAGACAGAAAGAAGAATGAAATAAATATAGGATTCAAGAAAGAAAAATGTGTTGAAAAGATTAAAAAAAGACAGAATTAGGAGAAAAAGAAGCAAATTGGAAGACATTAAAAGAGCGGGAAACATGGAAAAGAAAGAAAGAAAGAAAGAAATTAGGAAAAGAGGAAAATAAATTGAATGAAGAAAATGTGAAAGAGAGGGAAAAGGAAGAGAGAAAAAAGAAAAAAGAAGGAAAGAAAAAGAAGGAAAAGTACCCATGAAAATGGAAAAGAAAGAATGAAAAAATAAAGAAGAATAAATCCAGGAAATAACAAAGGAAAGTGTGATTGACAGAAAGAAAAAGAAAGAAGTGAAAGAAAAAAGGATGGATGAATGAACGCAGGAAGGAAAACGAAGAAAGTAAGAAAAGGAAGAAAAGAAGGTTGGATTGATGGAAGGAAGGAAAGAAGGAGAAAGGCGGAGGAAGAAGAATAGAGGAAAGAAATAGGAATGAAAGTATGAAGTCGCGGGGCATGGAAAACACAGTAAGAAAGAATTAATGAAAGAAAGACGAATGAAGTAAGAAAAAAGAGAGAGAAAATAGAGCTGAATTGAAGGAAGGAAGTAGAAAAAGAAAAGACGAAGAAACAAGAACAAAAGAAAGAAATAGGAAACAAAAAAAATCGAAAGAAGAAGAAGAAAGGCAGGAAAAACGAATTAAGAAAAAGGAAGGAAGAAGAAAATTAGAAAAATAAGGAAAAAATGTTGGATTCATTGAAGGAAGAAAAGAAGGAAGAACGAAGAAAGAGAGAAAAAAATTGGAAGGAAAGACGTAGAAAGTAAAAAAAAAGAAAAAGAAACGGATGTTGGATTGACGGAAGGAAGGAAATAATTAAAAGGAAGAAAAGACGAAGGAAGAAGAATAAATAGGAAAGGAGAATGGAAGGAATTAAAAACGAAGTAAATAAAAAAAAAGAAGGAAGGAAGAAAGAAAAATGTAAGAAAAACAGGTAGAAAGGAATGTCGGATTAATGGGAGGAAGCGAAGAATTAAAAGGAAGAGAAGTCGAAGGAAGAAAAATAAAGGGAAATATATGAAGAAAGAACGAAAGGAAGGCATAAAAAGAAGGAAGGAAGGAAGGAAGGAAGGAAGGAAGGAAGGAAGGAAGGAAAGAAAATGAAGAAAGTAAGAAAAAAGAACAAGAATAATTTAACGGAAGAAGGTAACGAATTAGAAAGAAGACAGGACGAAAGAAGACAAAGGAAAAAATATGAAGGAGGAACGAAAAGAAGAAGAAAGAAGGCATAAAAAACGAAGTAAGAAAAAGGACGTAAGCGATGAAAGTCGAAGAAAGTAAGAAAAAGAAAAAGAATGGATTGATGGAAGGAAGGGAAGAATTAGAAGGAAGAGAAGTCGAAGGAAGAAAAACAGAGGGGAAGAAATTGAAGGTGGGAGCGGAAGGTATTAAAAACGAAGGAAATAACAAATAAGAAGGAAGGAATTAAGAGAGGAAGGACAAAGAAAGTAAAAAAAAAGAGAGAGAGAAAAGAATGTTTGATTGACGGAAGGAGTTAGAAGGAAGAAAAGACGAAAGAAAAAGAATTAAAGAAAGAAATAGGAGACAATACAAGGCATGAAAAATGAAGAAAGAAAAAGAAAGGAAGGAAGAAAAGAAGGAAGGAAGGAAAAGGTAAAAAGATCGAGAAAAGAATATTGGGTTGACGGAAGGAAAGAATTAGAAGGAAAGAAGGACAAACGAAGAAGAATAAAAGAAATAAATAAGAGGAGACAATGGAAGGCATGAAAAATGAAGTAAGAAAGAAAAAGGAAGGATGGAAGGAAGGAAGGAAGGAAGGAAGGAAGGAAGGAAAAGAAAAATAGCGAAAAAAGAATGTTGGAGTGACGGAAAGAACGAAAGAATTAGAAGGAAGGAAGGACGAAGGAAGAAGAATCAAAGAAAGAAATGGGAAGCAAGAAGAGAAGAAAAAGAAGGAGGACGAGGAGGAAGAAGAAGAAGAAGAAGAAGAAGAAGAAGAAGAAGAAGAAGAAGAAGAAGAAAAGCATGAAAAACGGTAGTAAGAAAAAATGGATGGAAATCTTTGTAAAAAATAGAACGATATTTTTTTCTCATGGCAAGCAAGTGGTATGACATTTACACATCTCGGATATTTCAAACAATATTTATCATATAATTGCAGTCTCCACATTGTTAAGAGAAAAAAGGCGACTGAATACCTGGACCAAAATGTTGTACTAAAAATAACAAAGATGGGGATAGTCGTTCAAATAACTCTTGAACGGACA